TTTTTGTTCTTTTATCTTCAACCACATGACAAAATTAATCCACTCCTGGATGTGTGTCGTTAGACGGGATTTTTGAAATGCGAGTAAGTTCCTATCTAAAGAATCCATAATCACCATGGAATTGGCTCTCCTATGAATTTTGTTGAAAGAACTACTGCATGCGTTCACCATGGAACTTCACTCCGCGGATTTGAATAGACCCGCCAGACGGCATAGCGCACACTGGAGTACACCCTACCTACCTGGAGTGCATCCTGCCTAGGCAGGGTGTACTCCTGGAGTACGATTTTGGGGGAGTACGCTGTGCCGCCCACATCGGGTCACCTTGTCTAAAACTGTGCCGTTCGCTGACAGAAAATTCCGAAAACTTCTTGAAGTGTGCTAGTTCCGTGAAGAGTATGATTGAATTACTTGATGTCCTTGAATGCGTGGAGCGTTCATCGGTTCTGTATCTCTCAAGGCGGACGTATCCTTCGAATACGCTCCGGAATGCACAGTTTTCCCGGTGTTCACCTACCGTCACGTCTAAAGAATGCAACGTGAGTTTTACATAACCTTGTTTTTCTTTTACGATTTATGATACTTTTCCTTTCAAAACGGATTTTCAGGCGAAGCGATTTTTACAAACATGATCAACCTGGGTTGCATGGTTGTGTTCGAAATTGGCTGTGGTCTGAAGATCGCTCGGAGGAGAATCTACGCTTTGTCTAGGGCACATGAATTCGCCTCTTCAGCCCAGAAGTTGCCAAATGGCTAGAAAAAACGGTGGGCATTTCAGAACAGGTATATTCCAGTGAAAATTTTGATGCTCTCTGCGGTTCTCACGTATTTAATGTACAATGTTCGTATGCGTATTTTTAATTCATGCTAAGTGCTCGAGAAGAGAATGTGGTGTAAATCTGGCAATTGAAACCCGTTGTCCGGTTGCTCTCATAAATTTGTACATTTCATCAAATGTCTGTTGCTGTTCTTGGGGATTCTGCTTCCTGTTTCATTGCCAACGTGTAGGCGTTTTGCTACAATCGCGTTTAAATTTGCATTTATATAACGTTTTTGCCTTTTCGTAATTTTCACGGTTGGGTTGTGCTTTTCAGTGCGCCGAGAACAGAGCCCATTCGTGTGGATCGAGAAATCAAATGACTGATTTTTCTCCTCGAGATTGAAACAAAATCTCAAGTTCGGTGAAGATTACAGCTCCGACTGTGCGTATGTGGAGCTGGGTGTCCAAAACGTTGCTAGGTACGTTTCTTTTAATTTTTAAATCATTCCAAGTTCATGTACAACACTTCTTTTTTTTTTCAGATCCTCGTACAGTGTTCGAAAGAGACGTTGCCAGTGAGACCTGCCCGATCACTCAAAGCCTAAATTTCTTTTCGCTTATTCTCCAATGAGTCTGCATTTCTGTGTGTTTCATGCATGCAGTTAGAATACCTTTTTCCAGTATCTAACAACTGAATTCCTATATTCGTGTTTGAAACCTTCTGTGTTCGGTGTGATTCTCACATTTTTCATCTTTTTTCGTCTTACATTTGTCCATGTTCCATTATAGTTGTATTGCAATTTCAATTGAAATCGTATTTTGCTTCGAAATGCCGTGTATATAAACTTAGCCGCATGTGGTGTGCGTCACTATTGAAGAATTTGGTGCTCCTTAAATTTTTTTTCTCCTCTTTTGATTTTTTTTATATTTGAGGTGCCAGAAATGTGCTGAAAGACCATAAAGTCCTGATCATGGAATATCTCCATGAATTTCGTGATATCCCGAAGCAGTTTTGTGAGTTTTTCTCGGCTTTGCATCTTCCAGTCTTGTTGGGTTCGGCTTTTCCATTTTTTTTTAAGCCTGCTGAATTGCCTGCGAAGTGAACCCCAAAGTCGGAGTTGATGTGCCGAGGTAGTTATTAGTGTGCGGAAGTTTACTAAAAGATTGTCTGACTTGAAACAAGTCTGAAAGTCAGCATACGGAAGGTACAGGATTTCTAAATGGTGAGCTGGTTTGCATGTTGCTTTTGGGTGTTCTTAGTTCAATGGATTGATGTTGCACTTGGTAAACATCATTAGTAGAACACATTCAGTTTTAGGTCCATTTTTCAGTTTTGTGGTTTGTATGTCTCCATGTTCTTCATAATCTTCACGAACTGATCATTATTCGTCGTTCGCTTGTTCAAGTTTTTCCTCAAACATTTATTCGACGAATCACTGATGTTTTTTCTCCCCAACGTTTATGCAGCTATATGCATTTAATTTTTCCCTGCTTTGCTAACATTTTCCTCCTCGTTCATGTGATATATCACACCTCGGAGTCACGTTCAATCGTGAAATCTGCGGATTTTCGTGCATTAGAAGAATTTTCTGGGTTACGTGTGCTTGACATCCGAATTATTTCATGACTAGCGGACTGTATACAATTTGGGGTTTTTGGGTATTCGTGATGTACGTGGTGTTGGGGGCTTAAATCGTTTAACCTTTCTAGAACATGTTGGTATTATTTTGCCGAAAGCTTCTCAGAAGAGGAGCACGGTTATGGAGAACACAGCGTGGGATTGATGCATTTTATACAGTACTTCGGTATTTCGTTGCTCGGGATGTCCAGTGATTTGATTCAGAAAACTCGTAATTTTTCTTCATAGTGAAACTGGCATTTTCTGATGGTACATTTCCGACGTACGGATTATTTTCTTACGTAAGAAAGATTCAGGAATGAAGGAACTACGGAATGCGTATGAATTGTCATGTCAACGAGTTTTAGGAGTATTTTACGATACTTGAACAATTGCGCTGTGGTATACTGAATTTTTTTTAATGCAGTAAAGTACCGTGGATAGAAGGGGGAAAAAGGGTGCAGTATTTTCAACTTTTTTGAAAATATCTAGCGAGCTGTAAATCATTGATGAGAATTCAGTCAGGGTCGAACATTGTCGGGGTTTCGAGATATTCGGCGACGTAAATTGTAAGAGGTCGTGGAGGTGAGAAAATAATGTTTGAGCGTTCCTTTTATCTCATGTTCCTGCTTTGTGTTCGAATTACAGAAGTTCAGATACAACATCAACCTGGCTCCATGAATTTACAGTGTACAAACGGATTACTTGCTTCAGTCGGATCTTGACGAACTTGCGAAAGAGTGTTTCGGTTTTCTCAGCACGTTTACAAAAAAATGCCAGGGTTAGAGGGTACCCTGTGGTTATCTGCAGTCGAACTTCAAGGGATCAGCAGAAAAAGTTGAGTTAAGAGAGGTTTCTATGTGTAGGTACAAGAATTTTTATTTGGGGGAAAAGAGAGAATTACAGGAAATTGAATTTGGGGATATTCTGACAGGATGCGGAACTTTAAGGGAAGGGTCCATCCGTCAATCAGTCTTTCGCCTTCTTACAAAATGCAAAGCGACATTTTTATTGATTTTTTTCTTGCTGTGGCAATAAAATAATAGCCGAAAGCCTTCCAGAAAAAGTTTGAGTTCCAGAGGTTTGAGGGGGAATCCTGCAAGTGTGGGAATCTGGACAAGGATTTGAGAAAATGTACGTAGTACAATACGGAGGTATTTGACGAGAGATGTGCGATTTATCGAGGTTCAATCGTGTGAAATCAAGTGTTCGGCGTGAGTGAAAACTCGGTGTGTCTCAGGTAGCTCCTTACCATCCACAGGTAGTGATTTTTTTTTTAGGTTGAATTGTTCATGATGGTCCGGTGTTGTGGTGGGATGGCGGTGCTTGTGTCCCAGGAGCTGCTGTCACTTGTGATGACGCGTGGCATTTGCTGTCGGGGTTATTCTAGTGTGGCAGGGAATCACAGGCAGAGTCACGAAGATCGACGTCGGGTGATCTCTGTCACTTCTTACTACAACCAGGCTGCGATTGATTCATATGCTGCAAAGGTTAGTGCTGATAGAATTGCGAAAGCTTTACTCCCAGCCTTTTTGTGATTAGTTTTCCGTGTTCCGTTCGAAAGTGCGCGAAATATTCCGATCGGTTCTTTGAAGATCTTCGGCAAGTGTTCCATGAGCAGCTAAGAATACTGCGTCAGATTCGATCTTTCATTTTCAAGTGCGGAAGTGTTCTAAACTCTCTTTTTGATCGGAGTACGCGGCTATTTTCAGTTGAGGATTGATGTGGAACCGTGATTTTATGATTGTGTGGAATTACTGTACTGCAGTACAGTATTTCGAACATCTTACTTCGATCAAATTGAGGAATTCCGCCACTCGTTTTTCTTTTTTTTTTTTTTTGGTGACCGTGTTGTGAATTCCAGTAAACAAGAGCGTCTTCGTGCTTGAATCCGTTTCGTTTTCGTCGTGAGTAACGTAATCGAAACTTTTTCAAGGGATGAAATTTGATGAGTTCATGAGCCTATGTACGATTCATTTTTTGAAAAAAGCTGTGCGGTAAAGATTCAATTTTCTGTTGTATCTATTTTTGGAATGTTCCGAAAATATATCATGCGATTGAATATTCCGTGGAATCGATCGCAGAAATTTTTAGGGATGTTTGCATATTCGTTTGAATTATATTTGGATACTTCTCAACTTTGTCGGTTTTTACGGAGCGGAAATTCATTCCTATTTCTCAGCGAAAGATACCTAACGAGAAAATTAAACTCGAGGTGCAAATTTTGTGGTTTTACATAGTCAAATGCTCTTATCATGAAAACACTTTCTTCGTTTTACTTCGAGCAGTGAAAAAGTTCCAGACGATGTCATGAATACTTTTTCTCTTATGAATTTCAGCCCTCAGTGAGACTAACTCCGGAAACTATTTTGTACTCGGGAGAATACCCTGATAGAAGCCATCTTTTGGTACGTTGCTTCTTTCTTGCGATTTTCACAAATCTGAACTGAATCTTGACATTTTTTCGGTTTTTTTTAAATCCAGAGAAGTGCTCAGTATTTGCAGAAAGAGCTTCCGGTGAGAATCGCTCACAGAATTGCCGGTTTCAGAGCATTGCCATTTATTGTTGGCTGCAACCCTACTATTTTGTCCGTGGTGAGTGTTGGGATATTTTGAAATCTTCGTGTATAAATTCCTGTGAAAATTGAAATTCAGCCCTTGTTTTCAGACTTTCAATCTCGTCGTGGGATTGCAAGTGCGATGTTTGAAATAATTTGTTTTTGTTGCAGCATGAGCTTTACATCAGAGCTTTCCATATCCTTTGTGAGTACCCAGCTATCAAGACCATGGATGACGAGCAGCAGTTTTCAGAAGTGTTGAAAAGCCTGTTGGACGATCACAAAGACGTGGTCACGCAACTTGCCAGCGGATTCCGAGAATGTCAGAAGCACATTCCTGTGAGTTTTGCTCGGAATTGCTTCTGCAGTCGTGATTGGTATGAATAGTTCTGAATTTTTTGTTTTTCCTCAACTTTATTCGTTGCCAGCGGGAATGAGCCGATTTGTCAAAGGTGATTTGTTATAACCGGTTGTCAAGTGTGAATGTGTGTGAAAGAGAGCGAGTGAAATGTAGAAATTAATATAGGTGGACACTCTCTATAACGATTTGTTTTGATCTCGTACGGTTATCCCGATGTTGTAGGGGTTCTCTGCAACGGAATTCTCAACATAATGATTTTTTTTTCTGGTCTCTTGACTGTTGTTCTATAGAGAGTGTCCATCTGTGATGTAGTTTAGTGAAGTCTGCATGTGAGAACGCAAAAGCTTTTTTCGCAAGTTACTGCGTAGGTGTTGAAAAAGCTGTCATAGTTTTTTCAATACTGTATATATGTATATGCGAGTATTTATATTTGTATCATCTCCAATCTGCTGTGCTCAAGAAACTCTGTTGACTGAATATTTGAATGAATATTGCTGAAAAAACGTCTCGAAAATTTCAAACTCACAGAACATCTTTTCTAGATCTTCGTATGGTCTTTTCTTAAAGTTTTTTTTTTATGTCCTTCAGTTCGAGGAAATCATTTCCTTTCATTCCCGGATATTACTGATGTATTTTCAACGGTACTGTATATGGAAAATTTGGGAGTGGACAATTTTAATTAGGGACAATTAAAAAAATCGAAAATTAGAGATAGAGGGGCATTTTGAGACGAGGTTGGAGATGTGGAAATTTCGATCATTGTTTTTCTTTCTTAGCCTTCACGTACTTCACATACATTCTCCTTCAAGAAGTAGCAAAGGAACATGAAATTATGAAGCCATAATAAGTGATGATCATGGCTGATTCTGAAGTTCTCCATGTTTTCCCAAAGAGAAGTGCTTTGAAAAAACTGTTTGCATGGAGCAGAGAGAAGAAAATAGGAAGTTTGATGAAGAAGTTTTGTTCATGGCGTATTACCATGTGCAATATGATTTAGACAGAATCCTCATGTGTGGGAGGCAAACAAATCATTTTACAGTGTATTCTGTATTTAATTTTATTTTTCAGAGTCAAGACTTGGTGAGAGTTTTCTTGGACAGAACCCTGACCTCGCGTCTGGGAATCCGGATGCTAGCAATGCATCATTTGGCTCTTCGTGACGAGAAACGAGTTCAAGACCACATTGGAATCATCAACACAGCTATGCGACCGCAGAGTCTGATTGTCAAGTGGTGCGAGTTTGTTCAGCGAATGTGTCAGCACAAGTATACCAAAAAGCCGACTTTCAAGATTGTGGGGAACGTGAATGCCGTTTTCCCGTATATACCCATACCGTTGGATTATATCCTGCCTGAACTGCTCAAGAATGCTGCAAGGTTTAAATTATTTGCTCTTTATTTTTTAATTGAGAGCCCTGCAACAAATTTCTGTCATCATTTTTGTCTTTATTTTGCCT